TTTGAAAAAGGCTGCCTGGCAGAAACGTTACGTTGTGTTGTTTTGTGCACGTTTTCCTTTTTCCCATTTTGTTGAGCTTTTTAGTCAAATTTCTCTGGAATTCATTGTGAATGACAAGAAGTCTGGGCAGGTATGACGTCATGTCCGCTGTTGCTAGGTGATTTCGTAACCACAACAAGCTTCGACTGTCGTATTGTTTTCATAACATATTTCAGTCGGTCTTGGTTTTGACTTCATCGCTGATCCCCTATTTTCTACGTTAGAAGGAAGGGTAAATAATGGGGATCTGTCTAACCTTTGCCACAGAACTGAATCCAGGAACTCTTCGAGTTAATGATCTAGTACTCACTCTAGGAAACAAAAAGGATTCTAAGATTGAGGTAACCAACCTTCATGGTTTGGAATAACCTAAAATATATCTGAGCATTTGGAGGAAGTAAGGACCTTGATTATATAGGTGCGTTGAGTACGGTTCGCTCATGTCTGTTGCTTTACGTTTTTCAGGATTTTCTGAAGATCCAACAAGTGTCCGTGTATGATAGTGTGGTCCCAACTGCTACGATCCAGTAAACGATTTATGAAGGCTAAAGTGCTATGTTGAAATTGGGGACAACGCTTGAGCCGAAGTCTTTCGATTGTAAGTTGATTATCTTAAATCAACACCAGTAGCTGATTCGTTCTGGTGAAGAGAGTTGACGATCCTTGATCAACGCCAGAAGCTGATTCGTTCATGCAATGTCGTACTGGGAAGTACGGCAGTGAGAATTTCCTTTCCGGCATCCAGAGAAGCTGATTCGTTCCTGTGGAGCCCGGCAGTAAAGTACGGTGGCGGGTAATTCCATTCTGACATCTTGAGGAGCTACGAAATCTGATCAGATAAGTAAAATAACAGACTTACGATAACTCAACTCCGAAGATGCCTTCAGGGTCAAGTCTTCTCCTCCGCCGTGATGAACACGATAGTCTATAGGTCGTTTTAGAGGAATTCTTTCTCTTGTGTTAGATTTTCAAAGTTGCGATCGTTCCTTTTATTTATTCGCTACGGTTTTCATTAACTTTGTTATAGTAAATTAATTACAATCGTGATATAATTCAGTAGTTTTCTAGTTGGTAGAAAAGTTTCGCGTTACTGAATTTCATTGTCTTATTCAGAGAGGCAGTGTTGTCTTGTCAAATTCGCTGTTGATTATTTGTTCGACTGGACTTGTTTTGTTCCAGTCTGGGGGCAATCTGTGGTGAGGACGTCTGACCGAGAGGTACCCAAGTGTTCATAATAACCCTGTGGAGTCAGAGCTCGTGTCACCTCATCCCTGAGACAGGTTGAATGGAAAGTTTGAACCGAGGGTTAGGCCTCTAGACGAACGAGATCCACCATTCAAAACTCTCCTGTCTCAGAGCACCTGAGGGATTTGTGAAAATATCCTGTAAGTAAGGTGCGCGACAAAACTGCCATACGACAACTCAAACCAATGGTAACTTCAGTGGTGTAGTCTTACAACGAACACACAACGGAAACTCTTTACAGACCCCACTACAGGAAAACAAAAATTATTTCTCAGTAGTAAATACATTAGGCTTAACAGAGCATAGGGTCGGACTTTTTTTTTAAAACGAACATGGCTCCTAGGTCGACCCAGCTTTGAGTGGGTACCAGGTGAATCCTGGGAAGTAAAGGCGGCCGGCGTGATGCTGACCACACCACCCACTAACTGCTGTTTGGTCTATGAAATATAGGTATGCCTAATAAAATATATAGGTATAACCCTGTATACCCAATACTGAAGGCGTGGGAAAAGGTCCTTTAGTTCACAGAGAGCATAGCCATAGTTTGTAACATTTGTTCGTCACCATCAGTATTATCCCCACCCTTATTATCATCACTAGGTAATATTTAGAATGACGCATAGTAGATTAAAACAAAATAAACTACATTTTAAAGTTCAGCTGTGAACCGACATCATAGCACTGGGAGCATTCCCATAAGCGTCCCGTCATTATCTTCAGCAGCCTGAGCAGAGTTAATCCGACATTCGAAATGCAGATCATCTTCGACGGAAGCAGCAGTTACTAACAGATCAGAAGTTGCACACGCTATCAATTTTAATCACATTAGGCATTACTAATTCTATGACAACAGGTCCCATTTTCACAGCATCACATTGGTCACAGTAGAAAAACATTTCAAATGAAATCCGCAGCTCAAAGTGTCGCGCCATGCACTCAGCTCAGTAGCTGGGTGACAAAACTATATATTTTCAGTCCACAAATGGAGGAAAATGCAACGGCTACCATCTGTCAGAAGCAAAGAATTTTCCACGACTAAATCTGTGACCGTGCCTATCGTCCAGTTTGACCGAATCCTCTGAGTGTTGAGTGTCGGCCAGATCCCACTATCGATATCCCCTGGACCATTCCATTCAAACCATGATGATATACAAGGTCCGACAATTAAGTAATGAGACTGATTTTATTATGGCCGAGACAAAAATGCCATATATGAATTAAAGCATGGAATCCATGAGGCAACTTTTCGTCACCTCCCAAAAAGCAGATAACAAACAAGCCACCATTTTGTTAACCTAGTCAGAGATGCATTGTTACGTAATCAGCATAAAGCACACACACACACACAAAAGCAAACATTTTGTGTTAATAAAGAGACTATTCGTAAAATGTTAGTGGAAGATTTGGGCAAGAAAAAAAAGTTGCTTGTCGGTTTGTATTGAACACCTGGAAATTTCTTTCCGTCTTCATCACAATGCACCAGCACAAAGGGCCGTAGTTGTACAAGAATTGTTGGCCCAAAAACAGATACGTTTTCTCAACCATCCACCCTATTCCCCAGATTTGTCTCCATGTGACTATTTTATGTTCCCAAAATTAAAGTTGCCATTGAAAGGACGCTTCTTTAACAATAATGATGGCATTCAAGGGTCCGTAACATTGACTTTATGGTCTATAAGGACAGAAGAACTACAGTGATAGTTCCAGTGTTTGTTAGATCGTGCCACTTGCTGTATAAATGCACAAGGTGCTTACTTTGAATAAAATACAGGTTAAATCTTCAACTGTTGATTATTTTAATTTGTATAGAATTAGTGTCATTACTTAATTGTCGGACCCTGTATTTGTGTTTCCGCACTATTCACTCATTCCCAAATCGTCTTGACAACAACCAGCTTCTCAAACGTCAATTATACTTTTATGTCACACATTTATTTGCGTGTGTGTATGTGTGTGTGTGTGTGTGTGAGAGAGAGAGAGAGAGAGAGAAAGAGAGAGAGAGAGAGAGAGAGAGAGAGAGAGAGAGAGAGAGAGAGAGAGAGAGAGAGAAAGCGCGAATTCTGACTAGTTACATGAAAATGTACCGGAATGCATCTTTCTGAGTTCTTGTGAGATTCTGCTACTTGGAAAGATGTCGTTTTTTATTTGACATCAGAAAAAGTGCAAATTTGTCACACACGAGTTGTTTAGCTATGAACAAAAGGCTAACATATTCAGGGAGAAAAAACATTACTAGCACAGACTCATGTCGCCATATTCTACGTCTTCTTATTGTTGTTCTTCTTCTAATTATTATTATTATTTATACTATTATTAATATCATTATTATCCCCGAACATATCTGGGCCTTGTCACGGTGGGGAATTTTGTGTTGATGAATAGCCCTCAGAACTATGCCGGTGGTAGCGTAGATAGCAGCAGAGCCTCTTAAGCCGGAGAGGTCCACAGGTAGAGAACGGACAAGATACATGATCTGATCCTAGGGATTAGGGGTTGAAGCATGAGGCTAAGACGTCTATGTCTATGTTTGTACATCATTATTGCGTCATGAAACAGATATCTGAGCTTGGAATTCAGACGGGAAAAGAAAAGGCCAGCTACGAAGATAGATGGGGGTGGGTGCTATCAGGAGCAGTGAAGCTGGAGTGCTAGGAGTGCTGGAAAAGAAGAAAAGAAGATTATTATCATTGTTGTTATTGTTGTTTATTAAATGAGGCTTAGAGTGCGAAGTGTAGGATCACGTAACAATGGATAGTGGGATCCTTGTAACGGGGGATTGTGGCTGTGGAATCCCCTAATTATGGATTGTGGCTGTGGAATCCCCTAATTATGGATTGTGGCTGTGGAATCCCCTAACAATGGATAGTGGGTGTGGAAACCCGTAACAATGTATAGTGAGTGTGTAATCTCGTAACAGTCGACAGCGAATGTGGAATCACGTAACAGTGGACAGTGAGTGTGGGTGCACGTGACAATAGATAGTGAGTATGGAATCACAAGACAGAGTAGACAGATGTCAATGTACTGACCAATGACAGCAGTAACAAAGAAGATCTCATGATCTACACAGAGAAACACGAATCCTTCAACCGATAGACTCACTTAAGAGAGTCAATATGGAAGCCAACTGAGTTAAATGTGTATTTGTCTGTGTGCTTGTGTGTGTATGTGTAAAAGTTTGTTGCGTATCTGTTATAACGTTGCAGAACCAATCCTATCATTTGATGGCTGTTTCTGATTGCACTGTAAATTTCACGTTCATTAAATTCGCCAGTGTAAACGGTTTTCTCTCGATAGCACTGTCAAAACCCACACAAGGCGCTCTGTTACGAAATCGTCCACAGCCGGGATACAACCCAGCAACCTGGAATTATGAATCACGTTCGTAACGCCTAACTTACAGACGTCGGCCAAAATAAATAATGTTTCTGAAGTCTCATACTTTTATTGTATCCAATAGAGCTGAGTTGAAGTTCCACTTCTGATGCTGGTAGTGGCAATCTGGCTTACTATTCTTCGGAGCGCTGAGTCGCGGCCAGATTTCCTGATCACTTCCCGGTCTCTTCAGGAATTGATGTTTACGTGTGCTTCTGCACTGTTCACTCGCATCTAAAGGGCCTTAACCATATGCATAAGTTTACCACAGAGTTAATTGCGAATATAAAACTCAGCTACTGATAAAGAAACTGTCTTCGTCTTCTTAACGTTCATTCAAGGTACAAACATGGCCGCTGTGGTTGTGAGAGTGCCCGACGGATCTAAAAATGTGACGCTGGTGGGTCCTAAACATCCGAGGATGAGCTTCATTGCCTACTCATATCTGACCAGTAATACAGTCTGCTTTCAGACAGCGGTAGCTTTCAACCAGCTGACAATCAACCGGGTAAGACAATACATGAGCAGCGGTGGAGTATAGATTTAGGATCTTTCTTAACCAAGACAGCGTAAAGTTGCCTTAAGCTTCAGTTCTTCCTTTCCAGTCAGCGTTCATGTTTTTCACGATTAGTACTTATGTCACACTGCTAGTACTCTTTTCACACTACTGGTTCTCTTGTCCAACTAGTAGTACACTTGTCATACTACTAGTACTTATGTCACACTATTAGTACTCTTATCCCACTACTAGTACTCTTGTCCAACTACTAGTACTTTTATTTCACTACTAGTATTCTTGTCCCACTACTGATACTCTTGTCACACTGCTAGCACTCTTGTCACACTACTAGTGCTCTTGTCACACTGCTAGTGCTCTTGTCCAACTAATGTACTCTTTTCTCACTACTAGTTCTCTTATTACTCTACTGGCATTCTTATCACACTACAACTACTCTTGTCACACTACTAGTGCTCTTGTCACACTACTAGTGTTCTTGTCACACTACTAGTGCTCTTGTCCAATTAGTAGTACTCTTGTCACACTACAAGTGCTTATGTCTCACTACTAGTACTCATGTCACACTACTATTATTCTTGTCCCACTACTAATAGTCTTGTCACACTGCTAGCACTCTTGGCACACTGCTAGTACTTATGTCCCACTGTTAGTACTCCTGTCACACTGCTAGTGCTCTTGTCCAACTACTAGTGCTCTTATTACTCTATTGGTACTCTTGTCACACTACTAGTATTCTTGTCCCACTACTAGTGCTCTTATTACTCTATTGGTACTCTTGTCACACTACTAGTACTCTTGGCACACTGCTAGTACTCTTGTCACACTACTAGTACTCTTGTCACACTGCTAGTACTCTTGTCACACTACTAGTAATCTTGTCACACTACTAGTACTCTTGTCACACTACTAGAATTCTTGTCATACTACTATTACCCTTGTCTCACTACTAGTGCTCTTATTACTCTATTGGTACTCTTATCACATTACTAGTACTCTTGTCACACTACTAGTAATCTTGTCACACTACTAGTACTCTTGTCACACTACTAGTACTATTGTCCAACTACTAGTACTCTTATCTTACTACTAGTACCCATGTCTCACTAAAAGTACTCTTATTACTGTACTGGTACTTTTATCACACTACTTGTGCTCTTGTCACACTACTAGTACTTGTGTCACACTACTTGTAATCTTTTTACACAACTAGTACTCTTGCCACTCTTCTAGTACTCTAGTCACACTATTAGTAGTCTTGTTACACTACTAGTACTCTTGTCACACTTCTAGTACTTTAGTCACACTATTAGTAGTCTTGTTACACTACTAGTACTCATGTCACACTTCTAGTACTCTAGTCACACTATTAGTAGTCTTGTTACACTACTAGTACTCTTGTCACACTGCTAGTACTTTAGTCACACTATTAGTAGTCTTGTTACACTACTAGTACTCTTGTCACACTGCTAGTACTTTAGTCACACTATTAGTAGTCTTGTCACACTACTAGTACTCTTGTCACACTGCTAGTACTTATGTCACACTGTTAGTACTCCTGTCACACTGCTAGTGCTCTTGTCCAACTAGTAGTACTCTTGACCCACTACTAGTATTCTTGTCCCACTACTATTACTCTTGTCTCACTACTAGTGCTCTTATTACTCTATTGGTACTCTTGTCACACTACTAGTACTCTTGTCACACTACTGGTACTCTTGTCACATTTCTAGTACTCTAGTCACACTATTAATAGTCTTGTTACACTACTAGTACTCTTGTCACACTTCTAGTACTCTAGTCACACTATTAGTAGTCTTGTTACACTACTAGTACTTTTGTCACACTTCTAGTACTCTAGTCACACTATTAATAGTCTTGTTACACTACTAGTACTCTTGTCACATTACAGTCGTTTTGTGCTTGTGGTGTTATTGGGAGCAGATACTCCGCACCTTCTCTTTTTTTTTTTTTAAATCTTTGCTGTTGCTTGAACATACTCCGGGCCCTGTCTTGAGGTTACAAGGAGAATATACCCAATGCCCCTCCCCTTCCCTCCCCACAACAACCAAGTTGTACAGAGCGTCTCTCCCAGTGCATCTGCCTGACAGACAAGAAACCAAGAGTGTGAATACAAATAAGCCAGATCTGTGAAAAGATGTGTACGTAAAACTCAAGTTCTGGAATAGGACCAATGTTCACAAGTGGACGAACAACAAGAACTTTCGCTGTAGTTTACAAAGGCATTAAACAGGCATCTGAGTTTAAATATCTGGGAACTACATTTACCGAAGATGGGAAATTGGATAAAGAAATTGACATTAGATGCAGTAAAGCAAATCAAGTATTGGGACAGCTAGCCCCCCTCTTACAGTATAAGACAATCCCAATCAGCACAAAGAGACATCTTATTCAAAGCATATTTATTCCAACTCTGTGCTACCAGTGCCAGACATGGTCACTCACAACAAACCATAAAAGAAAATTAGTAACCACGGAAATGAGATGTCTGAGAAGGGCTGTAGGAGTGACCATAAGAGATAAGATCAGGAATGAGATCATAAGAGAAAAAGTCGGCACAGAACCAATTCTGGATTACATACAAAGACAGCAAGTGAAATGGTTTTCCCACTTAGAGAAAATGCCTTGTGACACCATACCATACAAAGCATACATGGAAAGAGAAGAAGGACGTAGAGCACGGGGTAGACCAAGAACAAAATGGAAGGATAACATCAGAGAAACTCTACAACAGCACGATGTGCCTATGGTCGAGGCAGCCAGAAGAGCTAGAAACAGAACCTTATATATCCCTCGACACCCACAGCGGTAAAAGAGGAAGTGAAGAAGAAAAAGAAGAAGAAGAAGAAGAAGAACGCTAGAAAGAAGAAGTTGTGCACATAGATAACGCCTTGTTATCAATGTTAGCTCTGTTACTAGTTTGGAACGTTGAAATTTGAGGGAAATCCAGAAAAGTTACCATTTCTGGTAAGCGTATTGCTATATCTTATAGTCTTTGTATTGTGTAGCATAACAATTATTGTCATGTTGCAAAATTCAGTCAGAAATAATTTTAATTAATTTTGTTTATTAGCATGGTAACTGTTTATTTGGTTCTTTGGTAATATCCTACCCTAGATGACGTCACAGGACAGTCCAACACTTTAGAGGGTTGTAAGACTGGGTTTCCCGGCTTTCTGATGCTTTCAACAACCTCAAAACATCTAGAACTGGCCCTAACCCCAACCCACCTACGTCCCACAAGAAAGTGCAGCCTAGGTCCCACGACTGCATGCAGCCTAGGACCCACGACTGCATGCAGCCTATCTACCACACCCTGAAATATTAGAATGCACAGTGACCTGTGCATTTCCCTGTTTGGGGTAGGATACTAAGAAAGCACTATCTATTTACTTTATTATATAGGGAATATATCTGAACTGTCATAACTCAGTTATTTATTAACCCACTTTATTAATTCATTTCACCCATTTCTTAGCAATTGTGGAGTTAGGATTGCTTAATCCATGTTATCATGTTGGAAGATATAGGCTAGAAATAGCTGTGAATGATGCTGTTATTATTTATGAAGAACTAGCTGTACCCGGCCACGCGTTGCTGTGGCATAGTTTGGCTAAATGGAAATGAAAGAAAATATAAATCGCACGTGTCTAATACAATCATTGTCTGCTCAGATAAGAAATAGTCTTTGATCTCCACCCCACCCCCACCCCACAACTAAATCCACCTACTACCCTCTCCCTCATCAAAGGTTTTTGGAAAAGAAAGACAATGGAAATCGCACCTGTCTAATATAGTTAATGTCGCAATCATTCTCTGCACATTTATATAAAGATAGTCTGGTTTTCCAACTTTAGAACATGCACCATATAATTGTGTCTTTATATTAGTGGTCGTCTAAATGGTGCTATTAGCACGGTAACAAAAGTGGTTATTTGGTTATCTCATGCTAAAGCTGTTTGTATTTTTATAGGAGACGAAGTAAAGCTACAACTGTACTTGTAAATAACAAAGTGAGTCGTAAAAAATAGAAAAGCGGAGGTAGCGTTAGTAAAATATAAACAAATTAGGTAATGAGAACTTGAAAATCACGTGTAAAGCTCTTTAAGTTCTCTTAAATTTAAGTCATTACCCCCTCCCCTCCCCTTCCACCGACTACTGCTCTCTCCCTCTTCGAAATATTTGAAAATCATTACCTGGCGATATTTTGTTGTTGCTGTAACTGACATTGACATCCCTGTCCATCTGGACTAAAATGGGGAGCAGGAATTGTAATAGGTAGTGAATGGGGCTAGTGTAATATTTACCACATCATCCTTCAAGTACCAGTACAACTACTAAAATAATGTCACTGCTATCTGTGTTACCATCGGAGTAGACAGAGAGTCGTGAGCCAGAAGATTTGGTTCCGCATGGCTAGTGCTGTCGCCACAGACTGGTCAGGTTAGGATGTATAATTTCACTTGCTGACAGAAGAACGCCATAACCTTACCGGCGGTCTTCACATAAGAGCACTATGGTGTAACAGCCCAACCACAACTATTACTGCTGCTGCTACTTTAAGTGGCTAAAGCAGTTACTGTGACTTAAAGCTCTCTCAGTTAATAGTTTACCCCCCCCCCCCCTTCCCCAAATTCACCGACAACTCTTTCCCTCATTGAAGTAGTTGGGAGGGGGGAAAAAAACACGTGAAAAGCAAATGAACACAGGAAAAAAACACCATAATTAGGAAATGAACGCCATGGTAAACATCACAGCTTAAAATTCCAACGCAGGTGAAATAACTAAATCTAAATGAAAATCTATAAAATTTCAGCGTAACCATGTAATCGGAAAGTTTTAAAATGCAATCATAAGTATGCGAAATGGTCAAATTTAATTATCAAATGGTTTACCCATTTACTTGTCTTTTTTTTTTTTTTTTTTTTAAATATTAAGGCAACATGGCTAGTGCTGTCACCACGACAGAGCAGATGAGGATATTATTTTAGTCCGGGGTAAAAAAAAAAATATTAACTACTGCGGATTCGAACCCAGGTCTCCCGAACAGGAACCCAGTGTTCCAACCATTCGACCAAGCAGCCAATTAATCGGATAAACGAAAAAAGAACTCAAGTATTAGAGATATGTGTCCCTACGACTGAGTCCTGATAAAACACAATTCAAAACCGCAGGCAATTGTTTTCTCGTAGACAGATACTCCAGATATATTAATGAAACGGCACAACAATAGAAATCGCACGTGTCTAACACGGTTAATGAAGTTGATGTCGCACTCAATGTCTGCGCCGACGTCGAGATAGTCCTTGATTGCCCCCCCCCCCCCCCCCCCCCCATCGAAGGTTGTTTGAAAAAAAAAAGAAAATAGAAATCGTGTTTAATATGGTTATTGTGTCAAATATAGAGATAGTCTTGTTTAATGTACCACGTCCTACTCTATGTATTAGAGAAGGCGTTGGCTGCACGTAACTCGCCGGCAAATGGCGGAAGCCTTGCGTTCTGACTACGGCGGCGCATGCGCAATTACTAACGTGGCTATAATTAGAAATCACTAAAGTTATAAATATTAGTTTCGAATATTATGGCTTAATATGTGGTCACCTATCTCTAGCAGCGACAGGTTGAATTTCAAACCACTATGGTTCAAAATCCGGTATCAAAACAAACATATCCTGAAAATTTCAGCTAAATCGGTTCAGTAGTTTCCGAGTCTATAGGGAGCAAACAAACACACAAACATTGATTTTTATAAATATAGATGGGAACTAAACAGGGTTAAGCTGTGGCACAGTGTTTCCACGTTTCATAGATTTGATCAAGCACGTGAAAGAGCAGTTGAAGACGGGAATTAAATGGATAAGAATGTAAAACGAGCAAGATAAACTATTCAGACAGCTGAGGTATAACCTAAGGATGACTCGTATGCGGCAGAAACTCATTAGTTAAAAGATTATTGTGAAAACCAGCTTGGTCAATTACTTTGGTATTTTAATTTTCTATTTTGCGATGGTCTAAAAATCCTTCTGTTTTTTTTTTTTTTTTTTTTTGGTTTTTTTGTGTGGACATTTTACCTAATGCATTACGCACAATATCTCAAAACATTATTAACATATTTTATCAACGTTAGAATACACATAGAACAATTACACTCAAACAGATTTAACTATAATGACCTTTATAGCCACTTGAATAATTTATGATTGTTTTGGTCATTTTTGTTAACCTTTATCGTTAATTTTATTCACAAAATGTATGTTCAATATAAATAAGCCCAACTTTTAAACCAATGCTCTGAAGAAAAAAAAAATATATATATAATGCTAAATTTATGTGTCAATTTTCATCAAGGTTCATAATTGGCCATTTCCGCAGAAGGTATGACGTTTTGAACAAACAACTATTACAATATGCTTTAAAAAAAATTCTGGCAACATTAATGTTCCTTAACCTTTAACCAATATTTACCTATAGAAAGCATTGTTTCCAGCAAATATAATCAAATTCGGTTAGGCAAGGGGAGGGGGTGGGGAGGGGGGTTAAACCCGGTCTTAACATGAGGTAATTTTTTCTTTCAAATTATGTTATTTATTTAATCAACAATGCAATGTGTTGCAGCCGTGCAGCGTCACTAGCGGCAGTCCTGGAGATCACACAGATAATGACTGCGATGGAGAAATTGATGAAGATGTGTGCAGCGAATACAATTACCCTTGTAAGTTAACTGGGGGTGTGAGTGTATTTGTGTGTATGTGCAAGAGTGGGTGATCTTTGCAAGGCATTGAGGGACTCATAGTTCTGGCCATGAATATGTGAATTACACAACTACAGCAAAATATGACTACACATACCTAGACGAACCACGTGCACGGACTACAAATTCTGACTTAAATCAAGCAAATGAATTATAATTATCACATTGAACATCAGTGTATTTTACTGAACACAAAACTAAGCGCTTTACAAATAACAATACATTAACAACCATCCACGTGCTCGACCAGATCATGTGCTACTTACTTTACTGAAATAGAAATAGGATAATGAACGTGTAGTTTCAGAAATATATTACATTACTGGTGGCCAACAATCGAAACATATTAATATGCACGTTAAGCTTCAACATACCACCAGGTAATTAAATGCCCATAGCGACCTGCAATCAAACTATCTCCGAGCAAGGATACACACTGCTACCTAGGTCTGTCTCACAGAATTGATTTACTGATGGAAATCTAAGTCTAGCCTTGAAACTAACCATTGATTGGGAGGTACCGAAAACGTGAAGTAGCCACACCATTTCTCTCCGACTCACCAGCCTGGAAACCAATGTTCATTAACAGTCACGAGCGACTGCACTACAACCAGATCTCCGCAGCGAGGCTGGCGTTGTCGGAGGGCGGGAGCTAAAAGACGCATTATCGTGATCTTTTTTCAATTTCTTATTCCAAGGCTTGCCAGATTTTTCTCTTAGGTGCAGCTGGACAAATAAATCCTAACCGGCATTTGGCGTCCTGTCACATCAACATCCTTAACGGTGAGTGATAGATGTACTGAGAGCTTCTAAACATCTCCAACATAATCGCTTCTATGTGAGTCAGGACTCCACTCCATACAGCCTGTAGCGTCAGGACGTCAAACACAGCGATAAACACCCGGTGACAAAAAGTGCCACCATGCGGATGAGGATCAGCCGTGTAGAGGTCCCAGAAACCCCGTTCAGCCGTTAGGCCATAACAGTGATCAACTCCATACCCGTACATGATTACATATGACACCAGGCTTGTGGAGCGGTTAGGGGTGACCTAATTATAACAACTTGTCATCAGTCTGGGATTGACCAGTTGGTCTGCAATATGGATTGGTCTCTTCTTCTCAGGGTCTGAGACCTTCAGATGACAATCCGCAGGGGAGAAACTGAAAGCACGTGACGTACGATATCTCTGGAGGATGGATGGACATGGATATCCACTTTACGTTTAGGAAGGATAATACAAATCCCTATGGAGCTTTTGGGGTCAAATTTAAATTTTTTTAAAGGAGAAAAACAAATTATAGGGATGGCGACTAATTAGGGGTACTTACTTTCGAAGTCGAAGTGTATCTGAGAGGCGAGGAGCCAAGAAGTGTATCTGAGAGGCGAGGAGCCAAGAAGTGTATCTGAGAGGCGAGGAGCCAAGAAGTGTATCTGAGAGGCGAGGAGCCAAGAAGTGTATGTGAGAGGCGAGGAGCCAAGAAGTGTATCTGAGAGGCGAGGAGGCAAGAAGTGTATCTGAGAGGCGAGGAGCCAAGAAGTGTATCTGAGAGGCAAGTAGCCAAGAGTCTGCAAATAAAAAACCCAGATCGATAAAACGGATGTGCACATAAAACTCAAGACGCCCTGGAACCAGACCAAAGTCTAGAAGTGGACGAACAATCAGAACTTTCCACCAGAATAGAGCCGGTGAATACTGGGAAGAGATGGAGGAGATGAGGCGGAGATGTTTGGGGACAGTGTCCTTGTCTGCTCGTCGTTATCCTCATCATGATCATCTACATCAGCGATTCTCAACTTGTGCGTCTCAACCCTTTTGTGGATCGGACGACCTTTTTAACAAGGGTGGCCTTAGACCATCGGAAAACAGATATTCACTGAAGTTATGAAGTAGCAACGAAAATAATTGTATGTTTGGGGGCCAAAACAACATGATGAACTGTATTGAAGGGTTGCCCCATTAGGAAGGTTGATAGCCACTAATGTACATTCTACATTAGAGCAGTGGTCCTCCTTAGCCAAAACTCAAATGTATTCATTACTAACGTCAATACTGGAAGCCGCATTGGTGTAGCGGGTAGAAGCTCGCCTGCGGATCGGAAGGTCGTGGGTTTGGATCCTGACGGAGCCGGAATTTTTTCCAAAAAAAAAAATTACTTTTAGGTCGACCCAGTCATGAGTGGGTACCAGGTAAAATCCGGGGAAATAAATGCAGCCGGCGTGGTCCTAATTACGTCACATACCAAGTGCTGATCGGTCTATAAAATATAGGCCTAGCCCAAATGCCCGATACGCCTAAAGGCGAGGAAAAGGGTACTTTTTAGGGTACTTTCTTAATATTCTACCCCAAACAGGGGAAATTCACAGGTCGCGGAAAAGTCTAATATTTCAGGGGTGGTAGATAGGCTGCATGCAGTCGTGGGACCTAGGCTGCATGCAGTCGTTGGACCTAGGATGCACTCTCTCGTGGGACGTAGGTGGGTTGGGGTTAGGGTCAGTTCTAGATTTTTTGGCGTCGTTAAAAGCATCAGAAAGCCGGGAAACCCAGTCTTACCACCCTCTAAAATGTTGGACTGTCCTGTGACGTCATATGGGGTAGGATATTACGAAATAACCCTGTTTAGGTAAAAGGTAAGTTATGATAAACTTCCAGCAATAATTTTAACCTGGTGTATGTGGAAGCCAAACAGTTCAAATCACAACAGCAGTATCATCAACGTCTTTATATTTTGCTGCAAAATCCAAAACACTGCCAGTTGCCAATCACTGCCTTTATTGTACCACTTTTGCGGTGCAGGCAGGGGGTTCGTTGAGCCTGAGTATTTACGGTTACATGGCTAGTGCTGTCGCCAAGACTGTGCAGGTGAAGATTTTATTTTGCACCCTTCAGAAAACAATACCCAGCCTTACCGAGGATTCGAACCCGGGTATCCCACATGAGAGCTCAGCGTTCTAACCGTTCGGCCAGCCGTTCCCTATCCAAAAGACTGAGGATCTATAAAGCAAAGAACACAGGCAGCTGTACCTGATAAACTCCTGCAAATTGATTGAAGGGAAAAAAAATACTTAGCACATCATGTAATTGTATATGTTTTTTTGTTTCAGCTTTCTCCGATTGTGGCGATATAATTTCTGGTAAATGTTTGTTACATGTCCTATAAAAAAGTAATCTATCTCTCTCTCTCTCTCTTTCTTTCTCTCTCTCTCTCTCTCTCTCTCTGACTCTCTCTCTCTCCCTCTCTCTCTCTCTCTCTCTGACTCTCGCTCTCTCCCTCTCTCTCTCTCTCTCTCTCTCTCTCTCTCTCTGACTCTCGCTCTCTCCCTCTCCCTGTCACTAGTATGAAAATTAAATGTATTGAAATAGAGAAAATCTAAGAGGTATTTTCACAGAAATGCAGACAAACCTAGAGGTATGCAGACAGAAATAGAGAGAGGTAGATAGTCAAGTGTACTGAAGAGAAGACTGACCGGTGCACGATCAAGTATATTCGAACACATATATGTACACAAATGGACAAATAATGTGATACAGCTCATGATTATTAATATACATCCGTGGCACCATTACAGATGACCCTAATATTTTTGGCAAAAACGTTACCCTGTACGGCCAAACCACTGACGGTTAATATAAATTTATGAATTGTTCCAGATTAACGTGTTTTTAGAGGCAGGGTATTTACCATGCAAGTTCTCCACATCTCAGTGTAGATGGGAAACTGTTACATTGTTACAAGTTATGGTCAAAGGTTAAAGTCGAGAGGATCGATTTCATTGCTCCGGGCTTTATTCCATATGGTTCAGTCTCTCTCGTCGGAAAGGCCTGCCGAGAGCCCCACACAGCTCCGCCGACGATCTCCAGGAATCTCCGTAAAATAGCACTCGTGATTTGAAGGGCGCAGCCGTGAAATGAACCCACGACCTTCAGAGTGCGAGGCAAACGGCTTGACCACGGCTTGAGACCCGTGAATATGTTACAAATAACTCTGATGTTTGAAGTGAAGAGTTTAGTTTACCCTACACATTCTCTATTACAGATTGTTAAAGTAAATCTGTGTCAGTTGATTGGGTGTCCCTGATATTTGAAGTAAAGAGTCTAGTTTAAAGACAGGCCGTCCACCACTGATTGTTAAAGTAAAACTTTATCATTCATATCTGAAGAAAAGAGTTTAGTTTAGCCTGTAGGTCCTCTAGCACTGATTGTTAAAGTAAAACTTTATCATTCATATCTGAAGAAAAGAGTTTAGTTTAGCCTGTAGGTCCTCTAGCACTGATTGTTAAAGTAAAACTTTATCATTCATATCTGAAGAAAAGAGTTTAGTTTAGCCTGTAGGTCCTCTAGCACTGATTGTTAAAGAAAATCTTTTACACTTTTACGGTGATAGTTTAAGTAAAGAGTTTAGTTTAGAAGTCAAGTGCCACAGACTGTTGGTATAAATCTCTCTCATTGTTATTGGTGACTTTGATATTTAAAGCAATGAGTTTTTTGTTTACTCTGCGAGTCGACTACAGCGGATTATTAAAAGTAAACCTTTTACACTGTCGCAGGTGAGCCTGATATCTGGGGTCAAGAGTTTACCCTGCAAGTGCCCGACCACTGCCAGCGCTCGCTAACAGATGATGTGGTCCTCTTGTATGTAACTGCCAGAAGTGGCATCTCCGCAGTCCAAGTGGCATTAGATACACCAGCAGGTATTAGTTTTTGATCGTTTAAAATTACTACCCTCTCCCCCCCCCCACCAGCCCTTAGTTTTTCTCTATAATTCATCATATAGGATAACCTAAGAGACTCTACCATACCCCATTCTTCTAATGTGACCTACCTACCAGGATAACTATAATCTTTCGATTTTCATTTTGTCAAGTGTGTCCTGTTTCCGTCCTTTGCTGGTTTGCGTGACATTCAGTGCTTGTGAAATTAATTAATTTCAGTATTTGCCATCTATATATATATATATATATATATATATATATATATATATAATATATATATATATATATATATATATATATATATATATTACACACACACATATACATATTTATGTGTCAGGGTTCTGTGCGGCTATAGGATATCACAGATGGATGATGATAAATTAGCTAAGTACCACTTATCTAACCTCGACCTGACCGAGTATGTTTTGACTCAGAGAGAAGGCTAGTAGAATGGCAATAACAGGGGAGATAATCGCTCACAGGCTCAGATGGTTCTGCCGGACCGGCGGGGAGCGTGAAGACTGGACAAAAGGAACGGGGACGGACAGTTCAGTGACAGTTGTATGGAAGTTGTAGAAGTGTTGTGGAGGATTCGTGTTAGACTTTGGACCAGACTTGTATTGTAACTGACCGCTAAAGATTTACGGTTTTAGTTACAACATTTATAATGTACCCCATGACGTCACGGTGACGTAACGGGAGACATTCAAATAATTTCCAGGGGGGTAAGGGTGGGGGAATTTTTCCTTTCTAGGGTGCATCGCAAAAGCGCGCGCTTGTTGGCGCCTCCTATGACGTTTCTTTACCGCACGTCAGCAGTCTTCATATTTGCCGCTTCTGGTTGCTACAGTTAGTAACATTTGTACGAGACTGTCACATACCCCTCGTGTCGCGTACCTGATTTAAGGATTTCTCCTTAACAACCAACAGCACTCTGAAATAATAATGTTGAGGCGTCGGCTCTTATTGGTCTAAGGGAGATCCCGTGGCCAATATACGCTCAACTTATTTCAGGAGTAGGGCAACTCAAGTTCTGGCACTACAGAATTTCTAATACTCCTAGGCACACTTGGCTGGACACCCCCACTACTATAAAAAGATAGCCCCCGGGCTATGATAGTATACTATCATAGCCATGTTTACACAGATTACACTTACTAATCACACAACATAAAAGCTAGACAGTTAGAATGGTGAAAAGGGGACACCCTAATCAGCCATGGAAATTTCTGAACGGATGTAATAATTGCAACATATATATATATATATATATATATATATATCAAGACAACCAAGATGGTTCCCAGTGAGTGGATTTCGAGACTTAACGTCGAAGCGATGATGTTGAAACAGCCAGACAAATTTCAAAGAGTTCATGAATCATCACAGTGCCTATGGGTAGTCATGTGAATAGAGCATGTGGTATGGCATCTCAGATGTTGCTTATCAAATCTGGAAGGTCACTGCTCCCCTCAGTCCATGGTGATTTGAACCTGCTGACTCAATAGATCGCTTTTCCTCTGGTTGATCTGGTAACCACGGATCGTCTCACATATAAGGACAAAGGAACTGCGCTGGAGCCCAACAAAGCTCCTGAAGAAGGCTTCCTTGGATTGATGACACAGGTGACCTGCAATACTGTCTCTCAGCCACTGGAACTCACACACAAGCTCCTGTCATGTTGAAGTTGTGGCAACAATAGGTAGGATTTTGGGTAGGTTTGGTGATAGGGATGGTATGGGCTGGTGATTGTTGGCTGCACTGTGACTCGTTTGCCTGACCTCTAAGGAGTTATCATCCCAAGCTTAGGAATCCTTTAAAGATTAAACTGGTATTTTGAATGCGCCAAAGTTTAATCAGAAAATTGAAATGCGCCTCGACACCTCAGAGGTCTGGCAAAGAATGCCCGCGCCAGATTCCGCTTGGCGTCTCTAGAAAAGAAGTCCTGTATTAGTGCCCAAGGAGTAAAAAGGCTTTCAGGAATTTCGGAATATATTCCAGAAATTATTTATCCCACAGCTGAAAGTTTGAAAATTTAGACTTCTCAAAACAACTAGAGGGTCTAGAAATGTTTATTCCACCAGATAAAGGTATATATCAATATGAGGGACTATATACCAACCGGGCAGGTTTAAATTTGAAATGTGACCTGCCCGCTAGGGGCGTCAACGTCACGAAAAGTCCAAAGTGTAGGGTTGGTTGTTCATTCCGTGACAGAGACAAGGAAATCTGCATTGCCTTCCTGCAACAGCATAGCATTCTGCACAGATCGAGACGTTGCAGAAACAACCATCAGATAGATGGTGTATTATCGCCGTTTGCCGGTGTCGAAAGTCCACCTGTCGTCTGGACAAACCCCTACTGCAAATTGCGGACCTGTTTCCGGCGACTATACCGACAGATGGCTGGGACTCACGAGCAGCGGCTACCGCATCTCCTGCAGCTTCCTCCTTTTGATTTGTTCGAGAGTTATTATCGCTCTCGGAAAGACACACGACCATTTGCTGGTGTCGAAAGTCTACCTGTCGTCTGGACATGCCCGTGCGGCAAATTACGGACCTCTTTCCAGCGACTATACCGCCAACGCCGAGGGTATCTCACGCGCCGCTACGTGAGTCCCAGCCATATAGTTTAGCTCCCTCTGGGGGATACTCTCGGCGGTGGCGGTATAGTCGCCCGAAAGAGGTCCGCAATTTACATGTGACTGAGGCCCTGAAAGGGTATATTTTCGGCCTTGATAATTCGTCTAGCTGCGGGCTGTCGTGAAATGATAGCCATTACGCATCGGTCTGTAAGGCTGATAACCTGTCTTACCTGTAATCTGCACAAAATTCAAACTTGGACTCGCCCAGAAATATATAGTCCCTTATATCTATATATATAGGCCTTTATTGGACAACATTATTATGTCTGCCTTTTCTGGTTACTTTAACTAAACTCCACTTTTAAATGTATATCTCTTCGATATATATTCAGGGAGTTATTTGAGGTTTCTTGGAAACCGATTTACTCCTTGCCCAAGTATACAAGGGACTTCTTTTGTTACCAACGCCTGAAGTGTCTAAGTGACGCTATTCTCTTTGCCAGCTTCTCAAGAGTCCAGATGTGTTAATCTGTGCCTGTATAAATTTCACTTTTCAAGGCAATCTGGAATGTCTCAGTTTTTACATATGCTTGGGATGTATCTTTTGTGAAGAGCTGGCAGAAGTTTCACAGTCCAACCAACACCCACCAACCATCAACCAACTATCAACCAACTACCCACCAGCTAACACCTGTGAAGGTTTCCAACATTACCACTATGTGGGGACAGATAACTCAAACAGCCAACCAGTGCCAGAGCTTGGTGTAGCTCAGAGTCCCTGTTGTGACCTAACTGGTGGGAGAGACTTGCTGAATACCGGTACAGTTGCTGTGTCCTCTATGGTGAAGTACTCTTTCACTACCTGATCCAGTTGAGCAGAATTACCAGAGTCAAAGACAGTCAAATCATCAGGAGCTGAGGGAGGCATCATAGACAGAAAGAGGCTAAGTGCAGTTTGATGCCTTATGTGCTTTATTCCTCACAGCTCCTTGGTTCCAATGATGACATATAGTCACCTCCAGGACCGGCTGTCTGCCTAGTTTCCTTAGGATCTAGACATTAGTGCTGAGATTCTTTCACTGATAGCTGGAATTCACTTCAATTGTTTTTGTACAGATATTATACTAAATACATGCATTCATTTTCATGGCTGACTTAGGTTTCTCTATGTCACCTTCTTAAGTGTTTAGCAGTTGTATGTGTATGTATCTTCATTATATGTGTTAACATGGTTAGGATAATGAACTATCATAACCTGGGGGCTTTCTTTAGTAAGTAGTGGGGGGGGGGGGGGTCCAGCCAAGTGTGCCTAGAAATATTGTATTTATATACTGATATATTTTGTAGTGCCAATACTTGAGTTGCCCTACTCCAGAGATAAGTTGATCGTATATTGGCCACGGGGAATCCCTTAGACCAATACGAGCCAAACGACTCAACATAATTATCTCTGAGTGCTGTTGGTTCTGAAGGAGGAATCCTTACATTAGGCACGCAACAGGAGTGATATGTGACACGGGCCATGCGCTTTGCGTTGGTTTCGACAGTAGTTTCAGGGCGCTGACCGTCCAGAGAGCAGTGGCAAACTACTGGATGTAAATTTGCATTGAGAAACCACACAACAGCCAGGGCTGATGGGGTTGGTTCTGCAATGTCCTGTAAAGGATACGCAACTAATCTAATGATATCACTAAAAATTGCGCATCAACATGCAGCCGACTGCGCACCAACAGACATTTATATGCCACACCAGAATACACTAGAAGAGAAACCACAGCATCAGCACACTTGCACCCCTTTAAATAGTGGACTTTCAAGTCAGCTGTTGAATCTCTACGGATTTTCGTGTTTGGGGTTCGTTATAAATATTGTACCCGGTTTTAGTATTAGATTAGCTACCGGTATCTTCGTAGTAACGTGTTTAGTCGGACTATAGGATAATTCCTGTATTAGCTGGTGCTTAGCTGTGGTGTCGAGTTAGGTAGCAATCAATTTGTGTGTCAAACATTGCGCTGAGTGAAGTATATTCGCATAAGGTTTATTTTGGGTAATTGACGAGGTCTGTCCGCTCACACCAGCCAAGGAAGCATATCAGTTATATTGTAGGAGACATACATACATATATACATACATACACACATACACACATACACACATACACATATACACACATACACACATACATACATACACACATACATACATACATACATACATACATACATACATACATACATACATACATACATACATACATACATACATACATACATACATACATACATACATACATACATACATACATACATACATACATACATACATACATACATACATACATACATACATACATACATACATACATACATACATACATACATACATACATACA